GAAGACATAATGAAATATCTGAATAATGAAGTAAATAACAGTTAATGAACAGTTAACAAAGATAAAAATTACTGACTTATTATCATTCTTATTAGCTATTCCATATGATCGGTATCAATCACTTTAGAAGCTTTTGATTATAATTTTGCTAAAACAGCATTATATTAGACCTTATAATTAACAATCACATAATTGTTTGGTAATTAGCAATGAATATGACTACTAAAGAATAATCATTCACAAGTGATTTTTATTTGCTTGGAATGAAAGAAATGCATAAAACTTAACAATTAAACCTAACTTATTTCTAAATTCATTTGGTGTTGTTTTACCTGTATCTTCCCATTGTTTATTTAGGATTGTAATTGATCAGTCACATGTTGGCATATGTGCATCCTATACAGATTGCCTCGATACAGCCTTAAGTCACAAGCTTTTTGTTTCGTTAAGGAATGGTTTTACTAGTCCTACATTTAAACCAGTTAAAATGAATGTACTTGAATTCAGCCTTTTGGTTGTTAAAACATTCCAAAAAATAAACATGTGGCTAAACTTGATTTCATTTATTTATCAATTAAAATTTATTTGCTTATACATAGGAATATTTTTCTCTGTAAACTATCAATTTGGATCCGTCAGACATATTCAACATTCCCTAAGTTACGAAAGAAAATTCACAAAACTAGTCATGAATCAATTTACTGATATTAATGCCATGATAATGAAATTGATTTATTTATACGGAAAGTATTCAAGACAGTAAAAGAGGCATTGATATTCATAACATAAAGTATCCAGAAGAAATTATGATAACATAATGAAAGGTGTTAATTTGAATCAACGTCATCAATCTATGTATTTTCGGTGCACCTACTGTTACTCCCAATGGAGCATAGGCTACCGACCAGCATTCTCCAACTCACTCTGTCCTGGGCCTTCCTTTCTAGTTCTATCCGATTGTTGTTCATTCTTCTCATGTCTCGCTTCATTTCTCGGCATAATGAGTTGTTTGGTCTTTCTCTTCTCCTTTGACTCTAAGGATTCCAATTAAGAGCTTGCCTTGTGACTCAGCTGGGTACTTTCCTCAATGTGAATCCTAACAACTTGCAGCGCTTCTTCCTGATTTCTTCCTCCGTTGTAACCTACTTTGTTCTCTCCCACAGTGGGTTGATGTTGATAGTGTCTGGTCGACGGACCCGAAGTATTTTGTGTAGACAATTGTTAATAAACACCTGTATTTTCTGGATGATGGCTTTCGTAGTTCTCCAGGTTTCTGCCCCATACAGTAGAACGGTCTTGACATTTGTATCGAAAATCCTGACTTTGGTGTTGGTTGATAGTTGCTTTGTTTTCTAGATGTTCCTCAGTTGTAAATATGCTGCTCTTGCTTCGCCGATCCGCGCCTTCACATCTGCATCAGATCCACCCTGTTCATCAATGATGCTGCCCAAATATGTAAAGGTTTTTACATCTTCCAAATCTTCTCCGTCAATTGTGATTGGATTGGTGCATTCTGTGTTGTATCGGAGAATCTTGCTTTTCCCTTTGTGTATATTGAGACCTACTGCTGTTGAGGCTGCTGCTACACTGGTCGTCTTCTCCTGCATTTGTTGTTGCGTTTGGGATAGAAGGGCCAGATCATCTGCAAAGTCTAGATCGTCCAGTTGCATCTTAGCTGTCTACTGTATCCCATACTTCCTCTCAGATGTTGACGTTTTCATGATCCAGTCGATCACCAGGAGAAAATTCATGTTTAGTAACTCTATAATTATAAACCGTTATCTAACTAGTGAAAAACATAAAACTATGGATTTTTTTCTGTTTCCATCGTTTACTCCACCTGTACATAAAAAATTCAACATCTGGACTAAAGAATCTTGAAGAAAAAAATTAAATGATTTACTTATAAAAGGGTAGTTGAAATTTACATCACAAAAGAACCTTATTTAAACGATCACTGAAAACCAGAAAACACTTTTAAAGTTACTTGATTTTTCTATGGGACTTTTTAGAAATGTAAAATCTCGACTCAACTGGGAATCAAACCCAGATACTTTAATCCTCCAGGCGAACGCTTAGCCTTTTTACTACCGAGTCGGCATTCCATATTTTACATTTCTAACCTTATTCAAGGTCATTCTATGATATAAAATCCAAATACTTTCACAAATCTTGCATTCATGGATCGTGGATGTAGACTTCTAAAGAGTCTCATATTAGTACGAAAAAGCCATTCAGTGTTTCCAGATTTTCAGTCGTAGCGTAACTTAAATTGGTTCACGATTTCAATCAAATTCAATAGTAAAATATTTTATTTTGACACAAATCAACTATTTTATAGGCACAGTTTACTGAACAACCTTTTGTAAATCAAGAACAATCAACATAATGGAATGAAGTGAATTCATTCCATTTCATATCCTTTACATTTTTCAAAAATGTAAATATTTTTTTAGTTTTAACAACCTTCATTCATACCAACAATCTTTTTAGTCTCATTATTGACACGCCTTTATTGTAATCAATGAGTAAATTAGATTATAAAATTATTTTTGTCATAAGATGATATTCGCGAGAGAATTATTAAAAATTTAAGAAAACATCGGCTAGTTATTTCTTTCTGAATTCGGACTTCTTAATAGTACATAGAGTCTAATTTAAAACCTTCTGATCTTGTGTTGATCATGATATATTTAAATATCTCCTGTTTTATCAAATTGTTTGTATGATTTTCCTACAGTTAACTGTATTATGAACTGTCTCACTTATTTGTCACCTACATAACTTGAATGTAGAAACCACCACTCAAGATAAGTTTTGTGAGTCATTGAAAGGACTAAAATATACCCGATGAAATGAATTCACTTTGTTATTCCTTTTTTCTCTTAATTTACTTAACAATTGGTTATGGTTAACATGATCAGTGTAAATGCTTTTACAGAAAATATCAAACAGTGTTACAGTCATACTTACTTTGAATTCACTCGACTTATCCAGATCACAAATACGTGAAAAATAACGGTAAAAATTGTTATTAAACTCAAATAGCTACTTGAAAACTAAGAAATAAATTATATGGTGTACACATAATCGCTCCATATTAGCTTAGTTGACCGATTTATAAAATGATATTTGAGAAAAAATGTATTAAAATTAGGCTTACTATTATTCGATATAAGTAGTTAAACCACCTTCGTCTTTCGATAGATCCCTCTAATTAGATTAAATGGTATAACATATGAAAATCTCCCTTCCACTAAATGTCATTACGTGTAACGAAATGAATTTAGCAGCTACTGAGTGTTTTGCTTTTTCGAGTGGGGTCCACGATTAGTTTGACTTACATACTAAATCTCTGAAACTATCCAGAATGTTACCAGTTATTTAAAATTATTAATAATACATAAAATCAAGGCAAATAATAGTAGTGGTCACATTTATACATGGTTTATATGTAATTAAATGACATTTAATATCTCATTTAAACTGTTGTATCTTTTAGCGAAGAATATTCTTTAATCCATAACCATTAGTTTGCAACATGGACACTAATGAGCTTGAAGTCTCAATGTTTAACAATGTATTTGGCTTCTAAATAAAACGATCTAAAACGAGATACATGTTCGTGAAATAAAAATAATTCAGCAAAATATTAAATAACTTCCATACATAGTAGAAAGACGCTACACATTCTATTGTTTAGTTCAAAACTTACTATTTAGATTGAGTATGTCGTCAGTCAGGATGAAAAGAAAAACTGTCTATCTTTAGAGAATTCGAGTGCAAATGTTTGTTCATTATTCGATTAAGACATTTAAACAAAACATTTTCTATAGAAAAATTGGTTGATTTACACAATACTTTCATCTTTTCGTTTGATATATTCTTTTGTGGTGTGTTCTACTTATATCGATATAAGTAGTATATAACGCTAGTTAGGGATAAAATGTCTGGCAGCGGATTTCCGAGAAGATCGAGCAGAAAAGAACGGGAAAAGAAAGCAATTGGTATGGAAATACAGGAATAATGAAGTTTGAGACAATTAATGGATATTTTGCAAATTAACTATTAATTTATCATTTTCAGATTTTACTAAGATATTCTGTAATACCGTACTGGAATATATTGTCTCCACTTATGTTCTCGTTCACTACACTTTTTCCTATTAATTTAAATTATCTAGACGGAAGTAGTTAATATTCATTTTGCCTAAAGAACAATTTCTTAAACTTTCCAATAATATTTGAAGAAATAAATCGTTATAGTAGATAAGTGTTTCCCAATGATGTTTATACAATCGACTAAATGAATTTGCGTGATTTATCAGGGTGACAATGAATCGTAGGAACCAATTATTAATGTCAAATCTACAGTTGTATACATATCGAAATACAAGTAATTTGCTTATTAAGATTACATCTTTTCTTAATACAACAGTAGACAATCGTCTATCAGAATATTAGAAAAAAATAAACTTGAATAAAATCTGCATAAAATTTGCTCTAATAAAATTAATTGATAGGTCCTGTTTACAAATCCTGCGAGGTGGAGTCGTAGATGCGCACTGCTGAGCAACCCCACAATATAGCGAAACAGCCGTCCAATGCTTCCAGGTTTTCCATGTCGGTCTAGTTTCAATTGACTCATTATATTCTTTAGTCATTGAATATTTACTAAGTTCAGAGATTGAAATTTTTTTTATCAATTTACCATTCATGATAAAATATTTAAATCCCGAATGAAATATGCAGTATTCAGTCATAATCATATAATAGTAAGTACAATTCCTTGAAAACTGATGAAAGAATGTGAATAAGTAAAGAAATATCATTTTCAGTATAACATTAGTTAGACTTTTCCAAGTATATACTGATGACGTCATATAATGAGGCAACAAAACTTGTAAGTGCTTTTATGTCTACTTCCTATTGATTTCTTTGCATAACAATTTATTGACTTTTCCCATTTTCTTTTTATTTCTTTTTTTTTTCAAAACTCAGTTCCACACAAATATTAAATAATCTTGAATCTTCAATTGAACAAAATTCAATTTATACAGAAAATCTACCGTCAATCACAAAAATTAATCATGAAAATGATGATATGAATAATCAAAATGTTGAATTGAATGAAATCATTAAAAGACAAATTAATAAATTTCATAATGATAGTACAGTGATGCAAATTAATGAAACTACAATAGATTCACTTCCTTCTTGTAATGATAATAATAATAATAGCAGTAATAGTAATCATGATAATGTTAACAAATATAATGATAATAATGGTGATGATGATGATGATGAAGACAGTTCAACTAGTCGTTATAGTACTGCAGAATCATCACCATGTGAAGACTTTGAACCAGATCTTAATAAAACTAAACAAATAAACAACCATAATATTGATAAACAAAATAACAAAATAATTGGAGAAAAAATTGATAAACTAAAACAAAATAAAAATATAAAAGAAAAATTAACAAATTCAACAATGAATAATCAAAGTGTAGCATTAGAATTTCGAACAATTGTTCAACGAGATGAATATGGTTATGGATTTCGAGTTTGTGGAAATAAACCAGTATCGGTACATAATGTTCGGAAAGGTAATATGTTTTTATATATCTGTACATTAATTTTACATATTGTCGTACATATACATGTAAACTTTGAATAAAAATATGTTCTCACTTATTTACTTACTTATGCCTGTTACTCCTCGTGAAGGAGCAAAGGCCGCCCACTAGCACTCTCCATTCAACCCTGTCCCGAGCAATCCTTTTCAGCACTTTCCAGTTGTCATTCATCCTTTACATATCTGCTTCTAATTACCGACGTAATGCGTTCTTTGGCCTTCCTCTTTTCCGCTTCCCTTCAGGATCCCATGTCACGGGTTGCCTCGTGATGCAGTTTGATGATTTGCGTGGTGTATGTCCCATCCATTTCCATCGTCTTTTTCTAATTTCCTCTTCATCTGGAATCTGGTTTGTTCTCTCCCACAAAAGGCTGTTGCTGATGGTATCCGGCCAATGGATGTTGAGTATCTTGCGTAGACAGCTATTTATAAATACTTGCACCTTCTTGATGATGGTTGTTGTAGTTCTCCAAGTTTCAGCTCCGTACAGTAGAACTGCCTTGACATTTGTATTGAAGATTCTCACTTTGATAATGGTTAACAGTTGTTTTGAGTTCAATATGTTCTTCAACTGTAGGAATGCTCTTCTTGCTTTACCAATCCTCACCTTTACGCCTACATCTGATCCTCCTTGTTCATTGATGGTGCTATCCAGATGCGTGAAGGCGGAGACTAATTTTTAGAGATAATCACATGAGTTCAAAGTGATAGGAAATAACTTGTGGAGTTTCAGTCATGATGGTGTCAGACAGTTATTTACTTCAGGCAATGAAAGATGATCGTGCAATATCGTAAATTTATTGAAGTAGTCTACAAACTATGTATTCACTTGTGAAATGGACAATCCTATACTAAGATAGAACCACTGTTCACTACTTTCAAGTATTTAATAGTGGCCTAGCTAAAGTTACTCTATGAATTCAACTATAAAAATGCTATAATCTCCACATATACCCTATATTAGTTCAAAACTGTCTCAAATTGTAATAAACAGATTAAAGGTACAACCTAATTTTCGGAAATCTAACCACTACAAACAGTTACCAACTAGATTAGATTGTTAACAAGATACCTCACATATTATAGTCAAAGTTTTCTACTGTATATGTTTACTATATAAACAAATAAGAAAAATGGTATGATAAATCATTTTATTATCAGAAGGGGGATTGTGGAGATTTTAGAAATTTCACTGGTTGAAATCATGAGTCAATTGAAGCTAGATCACCATGGGAAACCTGGAAGCACTGAACGGCCGTTTCGTCCTAGTATGGGACTCTTCAGCAGTGCGCATCCACGACCTCACCCCCTGCGAAATCCAAACCCAGGACCTAATGGTTTGGCGCGCGAGCACCGAACCACCAGACCACTGGATGCGCACTGCTGAGGAGTTCCATACTGGGACGAAACGGGCGTCCAGTGCTTCCAGGTTTTCCATAGTGGTCTAGCTTCAATTGACTCATGATTTCAACCAATGAAATCATTTTATAACATTCAGTCAACTGTACTACACTAAAATTTTACACAATCAGTTGGTCGTCAATAAATGCAAACCACCATTTAGATTTTAAATGAGATATACGTTTTATGCATGTCTTTGATAAATTCAATTTTCTTCAAATATATTAAAACAAACTGGTTAATTTGTATTGCATTTTCTGCATTTGTTATGTCACTAATACTTTGTTGGTTAAATAATTCAAATGTAGTAGAAAAAAAGTAAAAACAAACTTCAATAATCGAGTGTACAAAAAATAACATATCAATTTTATGTTGTTAGGTTTTTCGTAAGTTTTTTAACGCTTGTACACAAATTTGTGTAATTACATTTACACATAGAAATGTAAATGACCGATTCATAAAGTTTTTTCAGTTAGTCAACATAATTTACAGGTAATTGCACATAGAAAAATGTTAAAGATATTTTAATTTAACCATTATTTTACCTAAAAGTAGAAAGAATTTATTGTCCCCTCTTTCTTTCTCTCTTTCTTTCTTTCTTTCTTTCTTTCTTCCGTTCTAGTTACTGTTTGTATTTTTTTCTTCTGATATTTCTCTTAACGTCTGAACATCATGAATTGATTTCTTTTTTTTTCTATTTAAAAGGCGTTATTATCTACATACATTATAGACAATTTGTTTAGATTATCATTTGTGTGTATATACATGATTTCTTGTTATACTCGTTTTTAATATACTTTTTAACAGAGACTGTAGAAAGAGATGAAAAAAGCATAAGTAATAAGAATTTATTGTGAAACACATACTATTCATTCATCGAATCATTCTTTTCATTCTTTTTTTGTGTTGCCGCTCTTTTTTTCTCGAAATTTCAAACACATTCCGTTTCGAATCAAAGAAGTTTCTATAAATCAATCAATAAATTAAAAGTTTCATTACACATAGAATGCGCTTTGTTAATGATTCTCAAACTAAAACGATGACAACCAAACAATCATTCATGTTTTTAAGTGATACGAGTCCACAATTGAAATTACTGTCAATATATTCTTGAAATCATCTCATCTGATATGTAGTAGATAGTTTTTGAAAAAATACTTTACCAAGGAGAAAGCATTTATGAAAGCTTTAGACATGAAATGGAAGGAATATCGTTGTTTTTTTCCTTTCAGTATAAGAAGATGATCCCGTACAAGTTACTTTTACTTTGAAAAAAGGAACCTACCTCTCCTTGCCCGATTTATTTTTATCTTTGCCTTTTCTTTATCTTTCTCTGGGCATAATCCATGAGGCTGAGTAACTTGTGTCGTAGTGACATTAACAACAGATGGTTTAAACTATACGGGAATCGTTATATTCCCTACAAGACTGCACATTTTTCGTGTTATAAGTGCAAACCAGTAAGAAACCTAATTATAAGGCTTGCTATTTATTATCTTCATCCAGTTAATATATATAGATTACATTTATTCTTCCTTATATTTGTTTTATTTAACTTGAATACAAACCAATAAAAGCCTTACATATATGTATATATATACTTACTTACGCCTGTTACTCCTAGTGGGGCGTAGGCCGCCGACCAGCATTCTCCAACCCACTCTGTCCTGGGCCTTCTTTTCTAGTTCCATCCAATTCTTGTTCATTTTTCTCATGTCTATTTCCATTTCTCGGCGTAATGTGTTCTTTGGTCTTCCTCTTTTCCTTTGGCCTTCAGGATTCCATGTGAGGGCTTGTCTTGTGACGCAGTTGGGTGCTTTCCTCAATGTGTGTCCTATCCACTTCCAGCGCTTCTTCCTGATTTCTTCCTCCGCTGGGATCTGGTTTGTTCTCTCCCACAGTACGTTGTTGCTAATAGTGTCCGGCCAATGGATCTGAAGTATTTTGCGTAGACAACTGTTAATAAACACCTGTATTTTCTGGATGATGGCTTTCGTAGTTCTCCAGGTTTCTGCCCCATACAGTAGAACTGTCTTGACATTTGTATTGAAAATCCTGACCTTGGTGTTGGTTGACAGTTGCTTTGAGTTCCAGATGTTCCTCAGTTGTAAATATGCTGCTCTTGCTTTGCCGATCCGCGCCTTCACATCTGCATCAGATCCACCCTGTTCATCAATGATGCTGCCCAAATATGTAAAGGTTTTTACATCTTCCAAATCTTCTCCGTCAATTGTGATTGGATTGGTGCATTCTGTGTTGTATCGGAGAATCCTGCTTTTCCCTTTGTGTATATTGAGACCTACTGCTGCTGAGGCTGCTGCCACACTGTCGTCTTCTCCTGCATCTGTTGTTGCGTTTGGGATAGAAGGGCCAGATCATCTGCGAAGTCTAGATCGTCCAACTGCATCCTAGATGTCCATTGTATCCCGTGCTTCCCTTCAGACGTTGACGTCTTCATGATCCAGTCGATCACCAGGAGAAAGAGAAAGGGTGAGAGTAAGCAACCTTGCCTGACACCGGTCTTTACTTCGAACGACTTTGTCAACTGTCCTCCATGCACAATTTTGCAGTGTAATCCATCATATGAGTTCTGTATGATATTGACTATCTTCTGAGGCACGCCGTAGTGTCGAAGAAGTTTCCATAGTGTTGTTCTGTCCACGCTATCAAATGCCTTTTCGTAGTCAATGAAGTTGATGTAGAGTGATGAATTCCATTCAATTGATTGTTCCACAATGATCCGTAGAGTTGCGATTTGGTCTGTACACGATCTATCCTTACGGAATCCTGCCTGTTGGTCACGAAGTTGGGCGTCTACGCAGTCCTTCATCCTGTTTAACAATACCCTGTTGAAGACTTTTCCCGGTATTGAGAGAAGAGTGATGCCCCTGTAGTTATCACACTTGCTGAGATCGCCTTTCTTCGGTATTTTGATCAGAAGTCCTTCTTTCCAGTCTTTTGGTACTTGTTCCTCATCCCAAATCTTATTGAAGAGAATGTGGAGTATCCTTGCAGTTGCCGCTACGTCTGCTTTTAGTGCCTCTGCTGGATGTTGTCCGGTCCTGCTGCTTTGCCACTCTTGATTTGTCTGATGGCCATGCTGATTTCTTCAATTGTTGGTGGGCCAACATTGATTGGGAGGTCCGTGGGTGCTGCTTCGATGTTGGGTGGGTTCAGTGGAGCTGGTCGATTCAAGAGTTCTTTGAAGTGTTCTACCCACCTGTTTTGTTGCTCTTCAATGTTGGTGATTACCTCGCCTTCCTTGCTTTTCACTGGTCGTTCTGGTTTGCGGCGATTTCCAGAGAGTTTCTTTGTCGTGTCATACAGTTGTCTCATGTTTCCTTCTCTTGCAGCCTTTTCCGCCGTCGTTGCTAAATCTTCCACATATTTACGTTTGTCGGTTCTGATGCTCCTCTTCACTTGTTTGTTTACTTCTGTGTATTCAGCTTGTGCCTTGGCTTTTTCTGCTCTTGTTCGACTGGTATTGATTGCTGCCTTCTTGTTCCTCCTTTCTTGAATCTTATCCAGTGTATCAACAGTGATCCATTCCTTGTGATGGTGCTTCTTGTG